CTTGAGTTCCTTCGGTTCTCTCTCCCTTCATTTCCCTGCATGGTGTTTTATTGTTTTTATTAATATTTATAGGTGTTGTAAGGAGGACTTTAATTCTAACTCATGTTATATCAGTAGTCAGAATTTATATTTTTATAATTGAATATTTAAATCTTTGGTTTTCAATAATCACTTTCAATTTCCAAGTGGTGTTCCTAGCCCAATGAACAAAACAGATTAGATGCCTGTCTATATAGGGCCTTCATTTTACTTGAGGTGACAAATAATGAATACAAATATTAATTTATAAGACACAATATACTATATAATATTGAAAAATAGTATAAGAACTAGGGTTTGTTACTGGATGGAGCAGTGTATTTTACTGAATGACCAAAGAAGGTATGCTATAATGAGTAGCACTTAAATAAAGAAGCAGAAATACAGGGAGGAAATGCACATGGGCTGCTATTCTTGGGTCAGTATAAGACAGGTATATGAACCTTGGAAAAGGAGCTGTACTAAACTAAGGTACCAGAAATATTGCACTAGGTAGAACTGATTATTTCAAAGTAATACATGGAAAAAGAAAATAAACAGATAAATGACCAGGAATTAGGAGATCTAATGCCTAGAACATCATGACATACATTTCAAGTTTTATTTCAAAAGAATGAAAAATTGTTATTGGAGTTTAAAACACAAGTGAAATAGCATTATTCATGTTTAAAATGAATAGTTTTATTAACATTGTATAGTTTATATATTATGGGAACATGTAACTGTGTATATGTATGTGTATACACATGTGTATGTATGAGAGAGAGTGAGCTGGCCTGTGTGTGTACGTCTGGAGACCACAGGTTGATGTACAGTGTCTACATCTATTACTTTCCACCTTATTTTATTATTTGAGGCAGGATCTCCCACTGAACCAGGAATTCACTATTTGGCTGGATACGATGACCAGCTATTTCTAAGATCTACCTGTTCCCGTTCCCCCATTGCTGGAGTTATATAGGCGTTCTAGAATACTCAGGTTTTCCATGGGTTCTAGGATCCCAACTCAGGGCCTAATGCTTGTACAATAAGCTCCTTACCCATTGATACGTCTCTCCAGTCCATTTAACCAGCGTGTGATTAAGAACTATTACCAGTTAGCAAGTTATTATATTCTCTTTCTTTGATCTTCTTCACCTAATTTCCATTGTCATCACTTTATTTTAAAATCACCTATTTTACATTTTCAAAATATATTTTCTCTTTCATAATTTCAATAAGAATTTGAAGTTTAAATGTCCACAATACACCATGACATTAATATCCCTTTGGTACACTCTTTCCCATACAGATATCACTAAGAATAGGGATTCTTTTTATTGACATGTCCCATCCTATCCTATCACCACCCATTATCTACCCAAGAGAGGATACTCTGTTGTCTTAGTCAGCCAAGTCCTGGATCTTTTTATGCGGTGTCAGGGTAATTGCTCTTGAGAAATGTGAAATGCTGTAAATAATAATAATAATTCCCGTTAACCTTTTTTATTCTTGTTATAGACTAACTGCTTTGCTGTGCTTTGAACTGTTTTGAATGTATAAATCTTATTTTTTCAACACATTTGTAACATAGTCATAAATTGAGTAATTTAATATTTTATAGTTTATTTTTTGTCATCATCAGAACCTGGGCTGATATTGAATTTATAGCAAACATTAATAATTGTCACTTTAAAATAGTAAAAAGAATTATTTCTATTTTATCTGTATGAGTGTTATGCCTGCATGTATGTAAGTGTACCTATGTTGTACAGTGCCTGTAGAGGTTGGAAGAGGGTGTCAAATCCCTCAGAACTGGAGGTATGGATGCTTGTTAACCCCCATGTGGGTACTGGTATTTGAACTCAGGTTTTCTGCAGGAACAGTCAATGCTCTTAACAACTGAGGCATTTCTCTAGCCTCCTTAAAATCATCTTCTAGTATCACATGGTGGCTAACAACCATCTGTAACTCAAATTACAAGGGATCTGATACCCTCTTCTGACTTCCATGGGCATTGCATGACACAGGTGCACTTATACCCATCTAGGCAATACACAATACAAAAAATAAAATAATAAAATTTTTAAAAACAATAACACCCTTTAGAAAGCATCTTTCTACTACATGGAAGGACTTGGAATTTTGGTGGAAAAGTTACTCAGTGGTGCATTATGCAGAACGTGTAGGATTTAGGCCCATCATCTCATGTCCTGACAGATTTCTTATCTAGTTTTAGAGAAATAGCTGTCAAGTTGGAATCAGCAGCCTGCTGCAGACCTGACAGATGCAACAGTATGTTAAATGTCAGGCGCTTTCACCATTTAGTGGATTACTACAGGAGCATTTTCCTTGGGAAGGGAGAGTAGATGGCAGTTTGATGTACAAAAGATCACTCATCCTCCTCCTTCCATACCTCCCAGGATCCAAAGTATACCTATTAAAGACACTAGATTGCTATCTTCAATCCATCTAGTCATGTATATAACATTCCATCTCATTAACTTCAGTTTACTTTTTCCTAATTGATACCTATTTATACTTAGACTTTTCATTTACAAAGTTCACATATAAGGCTCAATTGCATATTTATAAAGTATCACTAGGATTAAACTAAATACTCTGGTACTCATTAGGGAATGTGTACACTGAGGATATGTCAGTCATACTAACCTGTTTGCTTTCAAGGAAATCAAATAGTTGTCTTTGTCAGCAATGATCAGGCAGAACATGGAGTGATTAAAATTCTTCTATATTGCCTTCTATGCCATTTTTCCTAATCATTTCCGAGGAAATGGCTGCAAGCATATGATCCTTTTTTGGAGACTGCCACAGTCACTGGTTAAGTTGAGTTATCAAAGGACTGTGAAGAAGAAAGAGAGCTTCAGATTGTCAACTCATTGTTGGGCAGGGTTTGTGATTCGAAACATGCTATTGTCAGACCTAAATGATCCAGAGCCTGAAAAATTATGCAGACTTCACTCAATGGTCACAACTGTATGGCAAATATCAGCTGACTGATGCTGTGGAAAATTTTAATGGCAATGTAGAATTGACATTGTGATGGATTAGTTTTTCCAAAGCAAGCAGAGCAATGATCAATTAGCCAGCACTTCATCTTAGTGTAAGATAAGTGGGTAAAGTTTTCAAAATTCAAGTCTGGTGTACATTAATAATCATTAAGTGAAAAAGTCAGGCCTGGGCCTGGCAGCCCTGGTCGGTCCTCTGCCTAGCCACTGGTCGGGTGGCACATTGCCCTTTGTAATGCTGTCCTCTTCTTGTCTTTATATATTCTCTTCAGTTTAGCTATTTTCATCAGAAAGAGAACACTAATTTTATTACAGCTGCTGTGTGGCAGCCCTTGATCTTTCTTTGAACAAATTTACATTGTCATTCAAAAGTAATTTGAAAATATGACTCTTGAATCTTGTCTGCAGTTTTGTCTACATTGAACAGCAATTCTTTGTTTTTAGTGGTGGTCATTGAATTTCTCATCACCCATTATAAGATGAACAAAGCATTTTGACTATAGAAACCAATGACAGTTTACTGAATTTGTGGCATGACTTAACAAGTTGTTGACATTAGCAACTTAAATATATTGCAAACCATTTGCCATATTTTATTTTTTATAACTTTCCCAGAAATATCAAAGCAAGTGAGCAAGTGTCACCCTTCATGTCAACTCTTTTATTCCAAAATTGAAATTCTCTTGTTGTTTTTCACTGTGGTGGCCCCTGAATGGCAGCCATTGTGTCTGAGCTGACATTTTCATGACTTTTTTTTCTTTCGGAGAGAATGAGAAAGAAGAACTCTAATGGTTCTGGTGATAGTGACTCTCTCTCTCTCTCTCTCTCTCTCTCTCTCTCTCTCTCTAATGCCTAACTTTGGAATATTCAAATCTGAATAATTTATTGGCCTACCTACAGTCATGTCTTAATCCTGCCTTTCCAGTAATCTTCCAAAAGGGAGTCAAGATACATTTACATTGTATAAATGGAAAACTCCTACTATGTCCTTATACTACAACCGTTCTAATTTTAACATGTTTGGTGACACATGCCTTTAATTCTAGCCCTCTGGAAGCAGAGGCAGGTAGATCTCTGTGATATTGCGGGAAGCCTGGTCTACATGGTGAGTTCCAGGCAGGCTGGGACTTGGGTGACCCTATCAAAAAAATGTTCCATTATTTTACAGCTTTCTAAATACTAATCAGTATTCTTGTCATCCTTGTTCATAAAGATTCACAGAAATTTATTCTAACGCAATTAAATAAAATCCAGATAATTATATCTTAGAGAGACAACATTAATATAATTAGTATAACTTCATTGTATAAGAAAAACAAAGATGCTTCAAGGTGAAAGGACAGGAGTTATAGAAATTTCAGATTTGAAGTATTAATTTGCTTTTTCTATCTGTAGAGGTGGGTCAGAGGATAATTACACTAGAAATGATGTATCATATTTTTTTTCATAGTTACAAAATTCTCCTTTCCATTCATCAAAAAAATTGTGAAACTTTTGAAATAGAAAATGAAGGCAAACCCTTTCTTGTATGTAATATTTAAGGAAAAACTGATTATAATTTATTAAAATACTATATTATTTCAAAAATGGTGTTTAATGGGTAGTGAAATTTACACTATAAAGAGCTAAAAGTTGATTTCTCTTGGTTACAATGTAGACTTGGGTGAGAGTAATAAGCATCAAATACACAGAACAATACACACCTCATTTTTAGAGCAATCAGGTAGAACTCCTCACTTTATCCAAAGCAAGGAGATGAAAAGTCTTATCTTGTGTTTTAGAGTGCTTGTCTTAAATAAAGCCAGCTTCTCACCATAGCAAGTAAAATTTTCCTGTAAATAAAAATCCTGATATATTTTGTCAACATTTGTTATATGTTGGGAAATTTAAAGAAAGCTTTGTAAAAGCTATGCAAGCTAAATGCTATACATTCTAATGTCCTTATTTGTGCAGGATGCCTTGGAGAAAGACTGGCTAGCATTAGATTCCACCCGCTTCCCTTCACAAACACTGCCTCTCTCCAACCAGCTGGCCTGGCCAAAGGTAACATGTCATGGAAACTTCTGAGTGTTCACTCTTTGCTGGCTTCTGAAGGTTCTGCTATGCTGTGGTGATTAATAATACAATTTATTGACTTGAAAAACATAATTACTTTTAGAAGCCTTTGACTTCCTCTTCATCCCCAGATGTAATTTTTCATGGAGCTTTTCTTTCATTTGCTCCTAATTTTTTTCTTTATTTTGGATTTCTTTCAACACTTTATTTCACAGTAGCAAAAAAAAATGATAAGCTTCAGCTGCATATTTGGCAGTCGATGAAAATCACTAGCTGACAGCACTTTAAAAATGCAGAAATATGCATTAAGAGAGCAGCAGCTGAAGATTCTCAGTCAGAGGTCAAAGAACTACAATATCTGTTATTTATTTGATAATCTTTGAAGTTTTTGTTCTCTGAGATTTTAAAAGATCTTTTCAATTAGTCATTTTGTATATGTGAACTATACAAAAAAGCATATTATTCACCGTTATAACACAGAGCACTTAGGCATGTTTCAGAAATTTCATCTTATTATCAGGTAGTTTTGTAATGAATTTCCTTTTCGAAGCAGCACAGGCTTACGCATGTAAAAGACTCCAACATAAGTGCTGAAATTGCCCAACTTACTCTGCATTTTTTCTACTTTTAAAATAAGAACTCTAGAATTTTGAAATATGATGAAGCTCCGCTTGATATAGCAGCTCATCCAACTCAAGCATGGCAATGCAACGAAAAAGAAAATTTGCTTTCCTCAGAACACACTCCATTAAGTACCAGGTAAGCTAAATTATGCTTTTAGGAGGGGATCAACTTATGAATGACAAAAACATACATTTCTTATGAAAGTATAATAACTTTAAAAATTGACATGAATTTACTTATTTAGAAGATGGAACAGCACTTAATGGTAAATTTTGAAATTTTCAGTATTAGAAATTAAATGAGTGGGCTGCATTAAAGTAACTACAAAACTTACATTTTGGTGACACAATGCATTTAATTTTTTCACACAAATGAATCTTCACTACTTTACAGGTAGAGATGAGGATTAGAAGGAAAATCCCAGGGCTGCCATCCTTTTCAGCAAAAGGATTGAAATATGCTCCATGTAATTGAAATGTAAACATTTTAAATTAATGGCAGGCTTTTATTACTTTTCAAGATAAAGTTCTTTTGTAACTTAAATAAATAGATTTTATTTCCAAGTCTGAAACAACACAAACTGCTTGTAGTTTTTTAAAGTCCTGATATACTTGTGTTGACGCAGTTAAAAGACATTGATTTCTGTTACCAGATCAGAAAAGAGAACGTTATTCTGGACGCCTCAATCAAAGACAAGTATAAAGAATTTCCGAAAATCTGAAAAAGAAGAAAAAATTTCAGAAGAATGGTAAGTGGTCTATTTCACATTTTTAAAAATTAAGAAATTGAAATGCTGATAAATGGCCAAGGCATATGATTTTCAGGATTCAAGAACGTCTTCATTAATTTTAAAGAAACTAAGCTTTGGAATAAATTATGCATTCTTAAGTGGGAGTACAAATTTATTTAATGTGATATAATTCACACACGAACAGTTACATGCATGTTCATGTCTAAATGTGCTCTGGATATTTTTGCCTTTTGTTAAATGTATTTTTTTCAATAGGGGCTTTAAGGATATTTCTACTGCGCAGCAAATGCTGAAAAGGGCACAGAAAATGAAATCAAAGAAATTAAGGGAAAAAATGGGTGAGTAATTAATGATCTTTGAGTAATATCTGTGGATTATAAATTCTTTTAAAATGTTTTCCATATTATATTTAATATGAATACAACTGAATGCACAGACAATAATGTCTAGAGACTGACTAAAAATAAACTTAATGTTCCAAAAATTATGCTGTTATAGTTAATGATTTATTTTGTCCCTTTGAAAAGTTGTGTCTGTTTCATATACCGTGATAGTGTCTATTCCTTATATTCTGTACTGTGACAATTATGTTATGGTTTGTCTCTAAGATGCTTTATGTGAGAGAATGTTGACTCAAAGACCATCTGCTTCCTATGATTACTCTTTTGTGTGCTCCTACATAGAAAGTTATTCAATAAACAAAATACATCAGTTTTGTAAATTTAACTATAAAGATTTCTCAACATAATCCTTGGAAACATAACAGAATTTATTTCTTTTATGATTTTTTGAAGAATTTGGGAAACATTCAAAGGCATAATTTTTCCTGTTACTTGCCAAGCTGCAAATCACTTGCCTTTGGACATTTTTAATCATTTTAGTATACATGCTAGGTATTTAAACATTGGGCAAAAAATAAAAAATCTTTCTGGTTTTATATCTTTAATGAAAACTATTTAATCATATTTACATACTGCATTTAATTTTGAATTTACTTTTATTTTTATAATCACATGGATATATGGGCCTAGTATAAGTCAAATGCATTTTAATAAATAATTTTGCTCATTAAAAAGAAAATGTATGCTTACATTTCAAGCTCATGTAGGCATAGAAAACTTGCAGTAAGATATTTTGTTTTTATTTCTATTGAATTCTAAGTACTGTATGTACATGTTTTACATTTAAAAATATAAATACCCAAAGTTTCTTTGTTTTCTAAAGATTAAATGATATTTATTGGCATATTACTAAGTAGCCATTACTAAATTTATAAAACCTCATTTCTATTTTCATAAGATAATAAAATACCTTCATTTGATATTTTCTTAATTTTGTGTTTTATCAACTTGAAATATCTATAATTTTATTGGTCACTAATATTTTATGTGTATGAGTGTATTGCCTGCACATATGTAAGCTCACCAGCATTGTGCAAGGCCCACCGAGGTCAGAAGAGGGCGTCGGAGCCTCTGGAACTGGAGTTACAGAGAGTTGTTAGCCACCATGTGGGGGCTGGGAATGGAACCCCTGCCCTCTGCAAGAGTAGTCAGTGCTCTTAACCCCTGAGCCATCTCTCCTGCCCCACACTCTTGTGTCTAAACTCCTATTAATTTCATCAGAATAATGTGAACTAAAGACCATGTTATGATCACCCCCGGTGGAATAATAACTCCAAATCCGTAGAATTTTGAGACTCAGATCTGGAGGTGTGGAATGTAGTACAGTAAATATGATAGTTTGATAAATTCCTTGTTGTTTTCTTCTATATTCCCCTACATCTTCAAGAAAATTGATAAGAGCTGTTTTCATAGTAATACAAATGTGTGGAATGCCTGCAACAAAGTCAAGCGCAAAAACATTTGGGAACATACTCAGCCACTGTTCAAGAAATTTTGCTAGATCTTCATTTAAATGATATATTTAATGTCTCCAGTAGCCTTCCCTAGTGAGAGCTGTGAAAAGATTAGATTTTAAAAATTTATTTATTTATATTTATATGTATGAGTGTATTGTATTGCCTGCATGTATGTAATTTCACACATATTGGTCACTTCTGTGGAAGTCAGAAGAGGGTGTCAGATGCTCTGGAACTGGAGCTACAGAAAGTTGTTAGCTGCAATGGGAGTGCGGGGACTCGAAACTTGATCTATCTGTAAGAGTAACCAGTGATCTTAACCATTGAGCCATCTCTCCAATCCCAAGAAAGGATTATCTTATCAGACTTTTCACATGATTCTGTCTCTGGAAATGTCTCCTCACCATTGTAATCAAAGCTTGTTTTGTTTAGATTGGGGAATTTTTGATAAATCAGCATAGTAAATATATTTTTGGATATGGTTCAGTAAGCAATACTTGCACACATACAACTGTTCTCTTTTTTCTAAAACTTTAATGGTCACAGCTAGATATAATTAAGCAAAAAGGGAATTTCTTTATATCAGTCAGTCACAAGGGGGCATGATATGGTAAAGAATGAGAAAGGAAAACCTACAGACCTACTTGGAGGTTCCATCTTTAACTTGATGCTTGAGCAGTGGTCAATAAACATGACATGTCCAGTAAAAATCCAAGATGATACCTGTATCCTTTAAATGGAAATTATGGCTTTAATTACACAGTAGTTACCAAACTGCATTTTCCCACTCAGTAAAAATGTAAATGTCTATGTACACTTTGTTTTGCTTTTGTTTATATTCAAATAATATTGATAGCACAAAACCAATTTGATTTTAATATGAGTGCCTAAATATGAAATTTAATGATGAGTTTTGTGTGCTTCTCAGGCTTTTTCTCTACTACCCTTTCACAACAGGCACACAGATTGGAATAAAAGAGAGTTAAAGATTAAAGAAAAGAAAAGAAAATCAAGGGGGTGCCTTGAATAAATCACAATCACACATTTTATTTATCTTCTGTTACATTGATGGTGCAGCACTTATAGCATTTTTATCTGTGAGTAAATCATTTAAGATTTTGTGCTCTGTATGTTCTTTTAGAGATTTTTTTTTCCCCCTGTTGCCTTTACAGTTTTCAGAACCCAATGGGTCTATGACATTAACCTACTTGAATCTATCCAAACACCCATTATTTAAATTTTTACTTACTAGTGAGCTAAAAGAAATAGATATTTAAATTGAAAGTTAAAATTATCTAGCAAAGTTTGAATATTCATGGAGATAGGATGGATCTGTGGCAAAGGTGCCAATTTGAGATTTTCCATCCACCAGAGGGCAGCAATGTCCATAAAAGTGCTGTGTGAATAGTTCCGTAGGGTAGGAGCTAGGCAGAGGAGTATCAGGGACTGATCTATTGATTAGATAGAGTAAAAAGTACTCTCCCTTCTAGCAAAGCAGCGATCCTCAAGGAACCAATCATACACATAGAGTCCAAAAACTTTAAATTTCTGCCACGAGGGGCTGGAGAGATGGCTCAGCAGTTAAGAACACTGACTGTTCTTGCAGAAGACCCGAGTTCAAATCCCAGCACCCACATGGTAGCTAACAACTGTCTGTAACTCCAGTTCCCGGGGATCCGAAGGCCTCTTCTGCCCTCCGCAGGTATTGCACAACACGGGTGCGCTTACCTACATGCAGGCATAACACTCATACAAATAAAATAAAAATAATAAATAAAAATTTTTTTAAAAGTCTGCCATGAAAAAATGTAAAACAAATTGGTCAGTACAGAGTACTTAATATTAACTGTATCTGTTACATTCTTTTCTTAGCAAAGGAATATGAATCAACAATATTTGTTTAAGGTGAAAAGAAAATATGGCAAACTGCAGAAAGTTCATTACTTTAGGAATATAGAATGAGATGGAATCAGTTACAACAGAGGAGGAATAGTGCTGAAGAAGCTGACTGATCAAGCAGAGAGCTGAGGACAGTCTCCAAGGCAGCAAAGAGGATGGATGGCTATTAGGCAAGACCCAGAATTAATGAGATCTATTGGTGTAAATGAAGCCATATTTTTTTTTTCTTTTTCACTTTTAGAAAAACTTTATTGAGAATTTCAAACATGCATACAAGGTGTTTTGATCAAATCCATGCCCATACCCTCCCCTACATTTCCCCCTCTGAAGAGGTAACCCTAAAATCTTTTTAAGGGTTAAATACATGCTCCCAAATACTTTTGACATTTTTGGCCTTTGGAACAGAATATGTTAACAGTCCCAAGGACATTTTGATTTTTAGCCCAGAAATTGACTACATTTCTTTGGGGTCTTTTTACCCTAACTGCCTAGAGAATTCCTTCCTCCTATTCTTATCATGCAATGGGGTTACCCAAATTACCAGTAAGGAATAGGGACACAGACCACTCTGGCTCCTTCCATGCTGAACAGGGATGCAGAGTGAGGCAATTGGAGTACCCCTTCAGTGGGTCTATCTAAAAGACTCCCAAATTGCATAACTCTTGTCTCTAAGGGGAAAAGAAATTCCTTGACTCATAAATTTGGAGATGTGAAGGAGAAGTAAAGGCAAGAGTAATTAGCATTACAAGTCCTAGATGAGGAACTAGAAAAAGTCAGAACGGGGCAATTTTCAAATATTCATATGAGTCCATTGGAGTTTCTTGACAAGGGCTACAAAAAGCATCCCTCTATTGGGATCATCCTCATTTTTCTTTTGTCTTCCAAGGCTGGACTAGTAAAGATAATAGGAAAGAGGAGAATGGAGAAGATGTTGGAAAAACTGAGGAAGCCTTGTGATGAAGTCTAAAATTGTGAGAATTTACCATGATTATTAGTTTATGTGTGAGTTGTGGATTTTTTTTCCTAGTAAGTAAGCAATTGTATTTTCCCTCATGACTGACATCAGCTTAAACCAATAATGACTAGTCTTATTGTGTGCTGTCTGTCTGTTTGTTTTGCTGCCTTGTACACAAAAGTAATTTCAAACTTCAGTGACCAGAACTGGAGTTTCTCAGATACTGAGGGAAGTTTAAAATTCAGTATTGCAAGAATATCATGTGTAAAGAGAGGGTTACAGGTTTATTGAAAGCATGCAAGGTCAATAACCTGAGGGTAGTGAGCATAATTGGTAGTAAGGCTAGATGAATGGGCTGGGGAAAGGGCGTGGGTGGTTGATTTTGATGCTTAGCACTCCTTAGGGGGAGTTCTAAGTGGTGGGGAGTGGGTGCATGGCAGCTGGAATAGTGTCAGGGAAAATGAAGAGCATAGAATGTAAACATAATAGGTTTCCTCTGCATTTATGTTTATACACATTGAAATTAAACTTCCATACTTGAAATAAAGCAAAGAGCAAGATGAAATAAACAGGTTAATTATTTTTAAGGAATAGCTATACAGGTAGGGATAAAAGTGGTTTTACTG